AGTTTTATACTATTTCATCAGTTCCTCTTCACGCGACCTTCTTCTTCACTTATTTCCTCTTCTCCGATGGCAGCTTCATCCAGTATTTCGTTTGAAAAATTTTCGATTTTCGTTAAGATTTCGTCCAGAGCATCACAGGTTCTACACCATGCACAGCAGAAACAACTGGATATTTGTGGCCTAGGCGTTTTCTTCTTTGGATAAAATTCGGTCATTCTTTCTTTAAATTCTTGTTTCATTTTCCTATACTCTGCGGAATTCTCCTCTGGAAGCCCGAGTCTAGATCTGTAAAATCTGATCAACGCAATATATAGTTTCGTGCTTAACCACTCCGAAATGAAGCCCAACGTAATAAGATCATACGGAAATATGATAATAGTGGGAGGGAATTTCATTATCCGTAGCCAACCTGCAAGTTCAAATTTGAATTGTTTAATGTAATATGAAAAAATTAACATAAGAAAACAAAATTTTTTGAAATTTTGTTTGCGTGCTTGAGAGATATTTGTTCTGGTGTTCTGGTGAAATCATTCGTGAATCTAGATGGAACCGAAACTTTACTGTAAAAAAAGATATTTGTGAAAAGTGTGTTGGGTAAAAAATGTAAAATGTTCAATTACTCACGACACTGCGTTAATACAGAGTACAATTAATATTTGTCGCGCGTATTTATGGCGTAGTTTAAAGGTAGCCAAAAAAAAACTATATCTGTAGTAAGTTTTGGTTCACTAATTGATTTTCTCTCCTGTGCAGGAATAGGTGATCAATAGAAAGTGAAAAAAAAGGACAAACATTGAGATGTTTTTTGCAGTTTTGATTATAAACTGCTCACACTTTTGTAAAACAGCGTTAATTATGTATATTTCCTTAACAATGACCAGGCTTAACCGACACGTAAAAACGTTGTTTCTACCGAAAATACAATTGCGCAGATTAATGCAGCAGGTCAAATTGCATGTTTAGTATCTAATCCAAAACTCAATTTATACTACTGATCAGGAAATTAGTCAGATTTCTATGTACAGATTGTCCCAAAAAGATGACACTAAATTAAGAATTATCCTCTTGTTTTAATTGATATTTGAACGCTACGCTAAACCAAAAGATGCATAGACATCAGCTTCTTGAATTTTAGATAACTCTTATTATAATAAACGTCCACTTAATTCCATTGAAATCATGGCTCGACTGACATCTTTGTAGTATAACACTATATAACTGAGTCTTTGTTGTATAACACAGTATAATTTTATTGAATTCCCTCGTACGTAATCACGCACGTTTAAGAGAGGTTTAAAAACGATGAGATAATTTCTATAGTGTCACTTTTTTATGGACACACTATATATATAGTTATCTCTCATTTTATTACCAGACAAAAAAAGAGAGAAAACGATAGCGACGTTTTTCATTCACAGCTTGAAATCGTTCTTTAGCCGTTGTAAATTTAAAGTGATCACCGACGCTAGAAAAGTCGCTATTTTAAACTCTCTATTCTTTCAATACCATGCCTAATTTTGAGGCGTATATATTCCGTGAAAAAAGTTCTCGCGATATATCTTCCCTTGGGAAAGAAATTCTGCCGCAATTCCTAAATATACGTTTAGTCTCTAAATGATAAGCATAATGATTACTATGATTTTTTCATTTTTTCCCTTCTCAAACAAATGGTGTAGGCATAGATACCTTGGACAATTCATCTTAATGCTGACTCACCTCGCCAATTCTTAACTTTCATGCTCACGATATTCTTCGATCTGATCTTCACTGACAACGTTAATTTCTCTTTTTGAAGAGTAGGCATCTTTTTCATGATGACGTCTATCAGGAGTCTGAAATCCCACTTTTCTCTGTCGTGGTTGCTTACAAGAAAGATCTCGTCTTCATTAATGCTAATGCCGTCCTTCTTTAAATTTTCACGACAATCATCCCGAATTTCTTTTATCACGTCTTCCATATCACGTGTTTTTCTTTTCGTTTCGTTCTCCTCATCCAAGTCCACTTTCGTACGCACCAAAAAGAAAGATTTTCCCAATAACTTGATATTCTTCGCTGTGTCAGAGTCATCTTTTCTGAACCTTGTTGCACTTAAAATAAAAAAAAAATCGCACGACTGGAATAGGTCAAGATGGGATGGCGTGCTGTTTTGGGGTAGATCCACCAATATCATCTTGGGGTAATCTGGATGAGGGTAATAAACAGATTCAGATTGTGTTTCCACAAAGCCTGTTTTCGCAGCTCTCTCGTCGCTGTCATCAATCCTGTGGGAAAAATTGCAAAACATTCAAATAATCGTTGACCGATAACTGTTTGACGAATAATGATTATATGTAAAAATAGTAAAATACAGAAAAACCAAAGTTCCATAATCGCATTTGAGTTAAAAATCGGGTCACGTCGAAAGCCTATCTAGAATGGAATGTTACTCCTAAAAAATCTGCATACAATCAATGGCGTAGCTGTACGGTGAAATGCTTACTCTTTTTGTATTAAATAATCTGGCATATAATCCAATTGATTCAATAGTTTAATCATCAATCACCCCCCCCCCCCGCTTTGTTTTCATATTACTGCAGATTCTCAAACAAACTTTTTCGATGGACGCATTGGAGACGTTGAAGGTCTTAAAGGTTGATCGTCACTATTGCCTAGACATAGGCCTATAGCTGGATTTATATATAGCCCGATTCCATTGAGCTATATGTCCATGCAACTTTTCTATTTGTATACGGGGACTTTATGTTTTTAGTAAAAGTTTCATTACAACTTTAATCTCCCCACCCATTGTAGCCTTTACAAGTACATGTACTTGTACTTGGTTCTCATTTTTTGGGCCAGGTCAATATATAGATGCCTTAAAATCTATTAAGACGTAGTGCCTTCATTAAAAATTCTATCTAAATAGCGTGCATTGGTGTACGGTGAATAAAAGTTCATCACATGCTTATTCTTTTTGTGCAGAATTTCGTGAATCTATAGTTTTCGGGACGATGCTAGAATTTTGTAATTCTCTTATACTGTATTTGAAATCTGGACAATATCTCGCGTAAAGGGTCACGTCATAGCACAAAAACGATTTACTACGAATTCCAAGCAGTTTTATTAGGAATCGAGTCACATCACCTTTCAGCCAAGTTTCGATCTAGGAATAGTTACCTGCTTGAGTATCAATTACATGCATAGGCTAACCCACATGCACGCATTTTTACACCTAGAGCGCCTTATTTTGTATGCATGAACATTATGCACGACGCTAATATTTATAATAAATCCTTATTTAACGTTACAAATAACGAAACTGTCGAAGCGTATAAATCCAATAATTCTCCAACGAGAAATATTAGAACTGTTTATATCAGGGAGATTTCCAATAAAACACATACCCAAGCGACTCGAAACTTTTCCATACTTCACTACCCAGTGTAACGTCGGCTACGTGGCACGTCCATTAATAATAAATAGTTCGCTCAAGCACCCTGCAGTTTATGAATATTATATCGTCTCATATTGTTTACTGTTAAAATTTTATCACCTCTTGAAGTGTTGCCATGTTTGTGATATCGAAAGTGAAAATGCGAAAATTGTTTCTCGTTGAATTGAAATAAATTGCTAAACTTTGTAGTTGTTACTGACGGTCAACTGTCTATATATTCACCTATAACACGCTACACAGGAAAAACATAAACGACCTCGCAAATATAAGGCTTTCTGATAGCTGGCTGTTGAACGGTGATATCATGGACAGCTTATTAGCATCGCTGAATAAACAAATCGAAACTTAGCTTCGTATTAGAACAAACTAGCCAATTGAAATAATTATACTTATCCTCACCCTCTAAAAGCGTTAATAAAGCTTGATTTCCCGGCTCCTGGTGATCCAGTGACGCCAATTTTGACTTCTGCCTCTTGCCACTTCTTCAACCTTTCTCTCATTAAATTTTGTGCTGCTGCGACCACTTTCTTTTCAGGAAGATCGTTACGTTCTTTTGTACCTTGGATTCTTTCATAATCAGGCTCTTGCTTTGAAGTACAACATCCCATAGCGAACTCGAGCAGTGGTAAGAACAGTCGTCGTACTTGTAAACAACGAAACCGCTAAAGCGTATCAACCACAATACTGAATTGTTATGTAAAAATTTGATAGACGCTACGACCCCTTCCTCTTTAAGAATACAGTCAAATTCTTTCGCCTCCTCTTCCACATTTCTAAAAGGCGCATATTTTGATTGATTGATTCAGATGCGTCCATAACGAGCATCGGCAATGTCAGTTGACGTGGTTGTCAACAGCGAAACCGCGAATTAAAGCGTCGGCTACAAATTTGCTAGATCAATATGCAAAAATTTGATAGATGCATTCATGTCAAATGATATCAAAGGTAGCCTTATAATTAATTGGCTTATTTAATTAGCCATTTCCCAATCGACCAAAGTACTGGGTTTAGTCGCGATCCGCAAAGCATCTATGGACAAATGATCTCAGACTTTTATTTCCTTTCCAGTCCATAGATGCTTTGCGGTTGGCAACTTCACCCAGTACCCTGCTCGATTGGGAAATGACTAATTACGCTGATACGACTTTTATATACTTTTTATATGCTCGTTTTCCCGTCATGAGTCTTTCCTAGTAGATAGCAGTCAATGGTTTTTAATGAAGTATTCCGCGCTTCTGCTTAACTATTTGTTGTCTCATTCTTATGCAAATATTTCGTTTAAAAAACGAGATTTGTTTTGTGCGTATGCGTGTTTTCAGGAGAAATCCGTCGTGTGCAAAACAGACTATATGGGTATTTACCCCCTTCCCACGAGTTATCGTTTTAGTTATTGGCTGATCGCCCGCGGGTTATGGGGTTGCTATTATTTCATCAAATAACCGAGCGAAACATCAGCTGGTTATGAGGTCGCTATAGCTGTTTATTTCATCTCGCGCAAGAATAAAATTTTAGCCAGGATATATTTTATCTATTGAATACTGGCCCGACCGTCGGAACTGGGGTGATGGGGACTGCAGTCACCCAATTTTTACACCGTTTTTTTGTGTGTAAATCGCGCGAAATCATCAATCAGTGATTGACACAATAAATTCTAATTGACAGGTTTATGATACCTACTGCATTTGTCTTTAGTAGACTTATATTGATAATGATGAATATCTCTGGCATTTCGGTCAAAGAATGTCTAATAATAATGTGCCGTAAATTCAAGTATATCTAATTTCCAAGGCATAAGAACAATTTAAAGACATGCAAACAACTTATTGTTTAAAAATTTGTATCGATGTTCGCCTTAACTTTGCAGCAAGTCTTTACAGTATGTTGATTAGGTAAAACAATTAACATGCAAAATTTGGTATGAATGCTATAAATAAAGCATGTCCATAATAATAAAGCACAACATTAGTCAGTGATCACCGACAATGACCATCGCTGGTAATTGAAGCACATGAGATCTAGGCTAAATCCACTTCTGCGTGCTGTAGCTTTATGTGTAGTTAATTACAAAAAAACTGTGCTGTTTATTCTGAAGTATATACGTGCTGCATTCTGCAGTAAATAAATTCGTTTGATTTCTAAATATGAGCCATGATCTGAATTATTTTCAAACATTAATTTTTTGTTTGAGAACATTCATATTTCTCCTACACATTTTAACACTTTTCATGGCCTATTTTACTAAATGACTTGCAGGTGATAAGTTTTATACTATTTCATCAGTACGCTCCACACGACCTTCTTCTTCACTTATTTCCTCTTCCCCGATGGCAGCTTCATCCAGTATTTCGTTTGAAAAATTTTCAATTTCCGTTAAGATTTCGTCCAGAGCATCACCGGTTCTACACCATGCACAGCAGAAACAACAACAACAACAACAACTTGATATTTTTTGACAAGGCTTTTTCTTCTTTGTATAAATTTGGGTCATTCTTTCTTTAAATTCTTGTTTCATTTTCATATATTCCTCGGAATTTTCCTCTGGAAGCCCGAGACTAGATCTGTAGAATCTGATCAACGCAATATATAGTTTCGTGCTTAACCACTCCGAAATGCAACCGAACGTAATAAGATCAAACGGAAATAAGATAATAGCGGGAAGGAACTTCATTATGCATAGCCAACCTGCAAGTTCAAAGTTGAATTGTTTAATGTAATATGATAAAATTAGCACACGAAAACAAAACTTTTGGAAATTTTTTTTGCGTGCTTGAGCGATGTTTGTTCTCATGGTCCGGTCAAATCATTCGTGAATCTAGATGCATGGAACCGAAATATTACTGTAAAAAAAAAATTATTATATACCACTTGTCAAAGTTTTGTTTTCGTAGCATTTCATTGGTCGAGAGCGAATCACGCGAGAGTGACGAAATTTTGATGTCGCTAGCGCGACCCCCTGCAGAGTGAGATAACGTGTTATTTCATGGGAAATAACAGCTTTTATCCATTTGAAATTATGTCTTTTATGAATAGATATTTCGTTGTTTACCTTGTAGCTTGGTTTTTCTTTGACAAGTGGTATATAATAAAAAACTTATTTACTGAGAACTCAGAAAACATTATGTTTTGTGGACCCTCGAGAGGTCTCGGGTCCACAAAACTTAACGTTTCCTTCGTTCGCAGTGAATAAGTGTTAATTGTGAAAAGAGTGTTGGGTAAAAAATTTATAATGTTCAATTATTGACGACACCGTGTTAATACAGATTTGAATTCATGTTTTGTTGCCCGTATTTATGGCGTAGTTTAAAGGTAACTATCCGAAAAAATAAACTATAATTGTAATAGGTTTTGGTTCACTAATTGATTTTCCTCTCTCGTGCAAAAGTAGGTGACCAGTAGAAAATCATCAAAAGGACAACATTCTGATGTTTTTTGCAGTTTTGGTTATCAACAGCTCAGATCTTCGTAAAACAGCGTTAATTATGTATATTTCCTGAACAATGACCAGGCTTAACCGACACGTAAAAACGTTGTTTCTACCGAGAATGCAATTGCGCAGATTAATGCAGCAGGTCAAATTGCATGTTTAGTATCTAATCAAAAACTTGATGATTATATACCACATGATCAGGAAATTAGTCAGATTTCTATGTACAGAGTGTCCCAAGAAAGGTGACACTAAAGAACTATCCAGAATCCTTTACCAGCTGCATGATAGTTTTGGCACATATAGAATTAAAATAATAAAATAATGATAGCATAATGCAAATTTTATTCTGTATATTTCGAATCTAGATCGACTCATCTTCAGCAGAATGGTATAATTCGAAATATACAGAATAAAATTTGCATTATGCTATCATTTGTCGGAATTTCTTTTAATTCTAAAGAATTATCCTATTGCTTTAATTTGTATTTGAGCGCTACGCTAAACCATATGGCTAAACCAACAGATGCATAGACATCAGCTTCTTGAATTTTAAATAACTCCTATACAATAAAAGTCCACTTAATTCCATTGAAATCATGGCTCGACTGACAAAACAGAGTTTTTGTGGTATAACACAGTATAATTTTATTGAATTCCCTCGTACGTAATCACGTGCGTTTAAGAAAGGTTTATAAACAATGAGATAATTTCTATAGTGTCACTTTTTTTTGGGACACACTATATATATAGTTATCTCGCATCAGTAGTACCAGACAAAAAAAAGAGAGAAAACGATAGCGACGTTTTTTATTCACAACCTGAAATCGTTCTTTAGCCGTTTTAAATTTAAAGTGATCACCGACGCTAGAAAAGTCGCTATTTTAAACTCTCTATTCTTTCAATACCATCCCTATTTTTGAGGCGTATATATTCCGTGGGAAAAGATCTCGCGATATATCTTCCCTTGGGAAAGAAATTCTGATGATTACTAATATAATGATTACTATGATTTTTTCATTTTTTCCCTTCTCAAACAAATGGTGTAGGCATAGATACCTTGGACAATTCATCTTAATGCTGACTCACCTCGCCAATTCTTAACTTTCATGCTCACGATATTCTTCGATCTGATCTTCACTGACAACGTTAATTTCTCTTTTTGAAGAGTAGGCATCTTTTTCATGATGACGTCTATCAGGAGTCTGAAATCCCATTTTTCTTTGTAGTGGTTGCTTACAAGAAAGATCTCGTCTTCATTAATGCTAATGCCGTCCTTCTTTAAATTTTCACGACACTCATCCCGAATTTCTTTTATCACGTCTTCCATATCACGTGTTTTTCTTTTCGTTTCGTTCTCCTCATCCAAGTCCACTTTCGTACGCACCAAAAAGAAAGATTTTCCCATTGACTCGATATCCTTCGCTGTGTCGGAGTTATCTTTTCTGAACCTTGTTGCACTTAAAATAAAAAAAAAATCGCACGACTGGAATAGGTCAAGACAGGGTGGCGTGCTGTTTTGGGATAGATCCACCAATATCATCTTCGGGTAATCTGGATGAGGGTAATAAACAGATTCAGATTGTGTTCCCACAGTGCCTGTTTTCGCAGCTCTCTCGTCGTTGTCATCAATCCTGTGTGAAAAATTGCAAAACATTCAAATAATCGTCAACAGATAAATGTTTGACGAATGATGATTATATGTAAAAATAGTAAAATACAGAGAAACTGAAAGTTCTATAATCCGATTCAAAAATCGGATCACGTCAAAAGCCTATCTAGAATGGAATGTTACTCCTAAATAATCTACATATAATCGGGCGTACGGTGAATTAAAGTTCATGAAATACTCTTTTTGTGTTAAATAATCTACATACAATCCAGTTGATTCAATAGCTTAATGATCAACCCCCCCCCCCCCCCCTCACTTTGTTTTCATATTACTACAGATTCTCAAAAAACTTTTTCGATGGACGCATTGGAGACGTTCAAGGTCTTAAAGGTTGATCGTCACTATTGCCTAGACATAGGCCTATAGCTGGATTTATATATAACTCGATTCGATGGAGACGGACATCCTCCCAGACAACATTTAGTAGAGAAAATATTTATATAGTGCGTCTGAAAATATGTCTGCGTATCTTAACGGAGTACGAAGGTCGTTAAGCAAGAAGAACAAAGTCAATATTCTTTTCAATTTTTGCCAGGAGCGTGGCGAACGAGTGGGGATTATGAAGTGTGTCATGTGACATTGATCATCTTTTATCATTTTAACTGTCCATGCAACTTTTCTATTTGTATACGGGGACTTTATGTTTTTAGTAAAAGTTTCATTACAACTTTAATCTCCCCGCCCATTGTAGCCTTTACAAGTACATGTACTTGTACTGGGCTTTCATTTTTTGGGCCAGGTCAATATATAGATGCCTTTATGGACTGGTCCTAGTGTTTGGGTGTCATAGAAGGGACCCTAGCTTAAATTGAATATCTCCGCAAGTATTTAAACTAAAGATACCGGAATACCACCAAACGATAGCGCTTGAAGAGATCATATAAATGCTATATTCAAATCGGCAGATAGTTTTAAGCCGCACTTGTAATATAAGCCGAAATACTAGCTTGCGTTGTTATCTCAAATTACTTGCCCATGGCAACCATATACTTTTCAAAATTCCATGTTTGTCAATTTATTTTGTTCTCTGTTAGCTTTAGACTGTCTCAATTTTGCTTATTATCCATTCTGTTATAACTTCGATGTATTTTTGGATTAGGATGTGCTAGAGAATCGGAGAAATAAGCCATTTTAAGAACTAAGCGATGAGCCTTGATGAGCGTTGCTAAGCGCGTGTTTAGCGCTTGCTCGGAATGTTGTCACGCGGTTCAAAAATGTGACAAAAGTCTGTGATGCCCACCCCCTAGGCTAATTTTGACCCCAAAAATCGATTCCTGCCGTAAAATTGGACCAAGGGGTCCGTTTTTCGGCTTTTTTTGCCCGAAATTTTTGGTGAATCTTTTTATTATTGTGAAATGCTTTCCGTGAGCGGTGCGATAATACATACCATGATGCAGATTATGAATGTTTATGTAAAAAATCGGCAAAAATCTTCTAAAGGCACGATTTTGAAGCTAAATATATCAAAATGATCCTAGAAATGTGAACTAAATCACGGTAACCAGTTTTTGTTTGCGTTTTGGGCAATATTCTAAGGATTAGGCCGCTTTGAGGTATGATATCGAATAGTAGCCAAATCGCATGCATTCTAAAGCAAATATCCTAGCGAATTTGAAACATATAGAACTAAAAAAACATCTATCCACTGAGGACAATGTCCTCTTTTAAATGGTTTAATTTTTATTAAAATCAGCCAAGTATTTGCACAGAAAATGCAAGTTAAAGTGAGCCAACCATTTTTAAAGGTCATCTGATCAGCTGACAAAGAGGTATTAAGACGTAATGCCTTCATTAAAAATTCTATCTAAATAGCATGCATTGGTGTACGGTGAATAAAAGTCCATCACATGCTTATTCTTTTTGTGCAGAATTTCGTGAATCTATAGTTTTCGAGACGATGCTCGAATTTTGTAATTTTCCTTCACTCTATTTGAAATCTGGGCAATATCTCGCGTAAAGGGTCACGTCATAGCATGAGAACGATTTACTAGGAATTCCAAGCAGTTTTATTAGGAATCGAGTCAGATCAACTTTTCAGCCAAGTTTCGATCTAGGAATAGCTACCTGCTTGAGTGTCAATTACATAGTCTAACCATGCACATGCACGCGTTTTTACACCTAGAGCACCTTATTTTGTATATTATGCACCATGCCAATATTTATAATAAATCTATATTAACATTACAATTAACGAAACTGGCGAAGGGTATAAATGCAATAATTCTCCAACGAGAAATATTAGAACGGTTTAGACTTTAGATCAGGGGGATTTCCAATAAAACACATACCCAGGCGACTCGAAACTTTTCCATACTTCACTACCCAGTTTAACGTTCGCTACGTGGCACGTCCATTAATAATAAATAGTTTGCTCAAGCACCCTGCAGTTTATGAATATTATATCGTCTCATATTGTTTACTGTTAAACTGATTGTGTCACCTCTTGAAGTGTTGCCATGTTTGTGATATCGAAAGTGAAAATGCGAAAATCGTTTCTCGTTGAATCGAAATAAATTGTTAAATTTAGTACTTGTTACTGACGGTCAACTGTCTATATAATATCATTAACCTATGACACCCTACACAGGAAACATAAACGAACTCGCCAATATAAGGCTTCTTGATAACTGGCTGTTAAACGGTGATATCATGCACAGCCGTATTAGCAAGGCTGAATGAACAAATCGATACTTAGCTTCGTATTAGAACAAACTAGCCAATTGAAATATACTTATCCTCACCCTCTAAAAGCGTTAATAAAGCTTGATTTCCCGGCTCCTGGTGACCCAGTGACGCCAATTTTGACTTCTTCCTCTTGCCAATTCTTCAACTTTTTTCTCATTAAAGCTTGTGCTGCTGCGACTACTTCCTCTTCAGGAAGATCGTTAAGTTCTTCTTTACCTTGGATTCTTTCATAACCAGGCTCTTGCTTTGAAGTACAACATCCCATAGCGAACTCGAGCAGTTGTAGGAACAGTCGTCGTACTTGTAAACAACGAAACCGCTAAAGCGCATCAACCACAATACTGAATTGTTATGTAAAAATTTGATAGATGCATGCGTGTCAATTGAAATCAAGATTCAACATTGTAGTTAATTGGTTTATTTTCTGACCTATTATCATCACAACCGGGACTGTTCTTAAATATTCTCTTTTTCAGAAATGATTTCCATCCTTGGCTTATTAGAATACGTTTTCATTGGGCTGTGAATTACTCATTTAACTTGAACTTTCGCGTGTACTAAACTGCTTTCATTTCTTTAAAATCATAATTAACAGTATTGGCGTAGGATAATGTACATGCATTAGCCGCTAAATTTTTATGCAATTCTTATGCTAAACAGTTCTTAGAAGAATCTATTTGTAATCATTTGACCAAAACGAAAAAGATGGCAGTATGTACATTTTACCGCGATGCATTGCAAGCATCAAGCATAAATGATTAACAAAGGATGAGAAGAAAAGCACGTAATGATATGAAACTTTAACACAACGAAGAGAATAACTTCCTTTCTTATATCTGCCCTTCAAAAAACTACAATGCGCTTTTTTAAACGATTTCTGACCGCATTGCATTCTTGCAAAACGTTGAAACGAAGCTTTAACTCAATAAATAAATAATTACTACTGATCAGCATTTCGAAAGTAGCGGCAATGTATCCGAGGCAAGTTTGTCCACAGAAGAAAATGCAAACGGCGAAGATTTTGGTGTTGTGTATTTGCATCCTGACGGCAATGCGCCATATCAAGACGAGCCTCTTGTCATTGCTGGGCAAGAATGCGAATTAAATTTCGAAGAAGACAGGGACGGCATTTCTGCACAAACGCTAGAAGCAAGGTACACGAAGTTAATTCTAGTAAACGATTGGTATAAGTGCAGTTTTTTGCACATAACTTGAACAGTAGTTTGCCCTCTTAGCTACCTAGGCCACATGGTATATAAGAAAAATATATAAAGCGACAAACATTTGCATTTCACCGACTTCGCACTCGAATGCAGTTGCATGAAATACCGTAATATTTTATTAGGTGTACGTTTAGTTTATGCAGAGATGAATTGCTAGTTGGTGCACTGGAATATCGCGGCTGTCGAGAAGTTCTTTGTGCCATAGGAAAGGCAGTTTTTGATGGTTGCATAGAACAAATCTCCTGCATAACACAACACAAAGATTACGAGGCAATGGTAAACGCTGCAGTATTGACTATGGTTGGACCATTGCTGCGAGGCAGCGATGGACGTTTATATAAACGAAGAACAGGGCAAAATATGAACGAGTAAGTCACAGGATGGAAAATTCTTGGCCTTTATATTTTCGCAAATACTATTAGACCAACACCTGGGGCGTTGTCGCTTTCTATGCTGGTTGACCTCTGTGTTTGGCAGGAAAATTAATTTATCTCTACAATTCTCGAAATCATAAATACCAAAGATTATATACAACTTTATTATGCAATGCTAGTAAAGGTTTGTTCCTTTTTCGTCTAGATACCTGCGAGCTGTGGCAAACAGATGGCTGGTTAGATGGTTTTGTGGATATCTCGGGTGGGATAATAGAAGACCATTACCTGCCTGCATTTACCATCACATAAGGAAAAAATTTCCTAGTGGCCATTCTAAAGCTAGGATACTCGCAGACAAAAAATAGAGACTGAAACATTTTGTTTTCTAAATATGAAATTGTTGTATTAAATCAATCAGATGTGTATATGTAACTAGAACTATACGGGGAGACGAGCAATACATGTATGTTTTTACCATAATTATATATGACCTAACTACAAGGCGTGTTAAGTTGCACTGGTGAGTTCTAAAATTGTGAGCGGTCTATTCAAAAATCTAATGTGCCACTTAAAGATTGTTTAGTGTTAGTGGCCACGTAACTACTCTTGATTGCAAAAAGTTCAATTTTTAAGGAATATCAAATGGGGAATTTTTTAGTTCAGAGGCAGCCATTATATACATACAAGGCTTCAGCTTTGCGGATACACAAACTTGACTAGGACCAGTTATACAAGAAGTGGATTATATTTTACACTAAAATCTTAAAGTTAATATAATGAAACATTATTTCAGAATGTGTATGATATTCAGAACTTGTGTAATCTGAATGTCTGTGTTGAGAATATAGCTAGTAATAAGTTTCCTTCAGTCCATTGCTTTTGGATCTAGTCCTTCTTTTAAGATCTTCAAGGCAATCTTTTCCATTTCGTCTAAAATGATTTGCAGTATACAAAATACAAATTTATAAGGTGCTTTGTTAACGTGCGCCAACAAATCTTCACAATCAGCATTGAACGATCGCAACCAGGATTCTACGTCTGAATCAGGCTCAAAGTAAAATTTTTTGATCGCTTCTTTATGCGCAGGCGACATTTCTTGAAATTGTTCGGAATCTTTTTCCGGAAAGCCAAGTTGAGATCTGAAGAATTCCGTCTTTCTAATAATGAGACTGGAATAATAATTTAGACTGCGTTGGACCAATGCACCCACATTATACGTGAGAAGTAATGTTTCCGACCATATTTGACCTGAAAGGAAAGAAGCTAGAAATAGACCAATAGAAATAGACATATAAACCAACTGAAAATGCATAATACTGCATGATATTATCGAATAGATGCAAACTCTATGTTGTGCTTACATTGGGATCAAAATAAGATTTTTACTAAACAGCTATTAGCTCAAATAATATAACTCATAACATGCTATGATGTTTTAGTTTGGGCTAGAAGTGTAATTTCGTGACAAATTTTCTTTTGTGCACATTTAAATTAAGGTAGTAGAGCGATTTATACAAATCGTCTTAAATGCAAATACATGATTTATATCACACACATCTCCTCACGTTTTGCATCACACACTAATGACGTACTGACCACCGAATAAATTTGTTCAAGGTGTTAATGCGGCGCAAATAGACCTTTTTGGTAATTACGTCAAACTTGAAATCCTTTCATTTAAGATGCATGGTTCCAAATTTAAAACGTTGTGATGTTAAAATGTTGTGACGTAATTATCGAAAAGGTCTATTTAGCGGAGACGTTAGATCGCTTACATTGCTTACAATTACAATTCGAAATATTTTGAAAATATAATTTAGGCAGGGGCTCACGTGTTTAACGCGAAATTGCGGCTCCGTAATTTGCTGAAATGAAATAAAGTCATAGGTAAAACCTATTTTTCATATGGAACTTTCATCGTGTATCAAAATACGTACCCTTGAATTCTTTAATTTTTCTTTTTAAACCTTCTTCAAAGTACGTTAAAATGAACAAAAGAAAGCTCTTTCGCACAATAGACGGAAATCCATCCTCGATTGCTGTTTTAAGGCGGGTGAAATCCCATTTTTCCGGTTTGTGATTATCGATCAGAAAAATATCTTTGTCATCCGTTTTCGCTTCTGCTGCATTTAATTTATCAGCACAATAGCGCTTAATTGTTTCCAATTCTTTCACTTCATCGAACGCTGATTTTCTTCTTGCATTTTCTAAATCGTTGTCAATTTTTGCGCGAGCAAAAAGGAAAGGCTTCTTAGTCGACTTTAACTTTTTTGCTAAACTCCCAATTATCGGCTCAAACCGCTCAGTATTCACAATGATGAATACGTCGAATTTTTCAATACCGACTTTTTCGCAGTAGGTGTCGACATTAGGAAGGACGCGTGAACCGATGCCTGGACAATCCCAATATATGATATTCGGGTTATTGGGATCGGTATACTGAGCTGGGATCGTTGTTGTTTCGGTTACTCCCGTTTCTGCTCCAAACAGCTCATCGGTATCCTCGATTCTGTAAACAGGAAACAAATGGATATGCATCAAATCACTGTGCAATACATCAAACCATGCGCGTGCAATCGAAGAATTCTCTTTATGCCCCGAAATTTACGAAACAGGTTAAAAAAACATTTGGTTCAACACAATTGTGTACATTATTACTCCACTCATTCGGTAACACTTAAATGAATTCCACAGGCACATTATCTCGCCGGCTATATTTATTTTGATTCATTATATTAGTTTGCAGTAATTCAGTATCTAGTGGAAAACCGCGGCAAATTTTCAACGTAGTATTAAACCACTTTTCTGTGTGTTTTAAGTCTTGTTCTAAGTATTTTGTCAATTATTTTGATTATCCGATATCATCAACAAGAAAGACATTGTGAACGTGGCACATATTACCTAGACTTTGGTCCAGGGCAGATCTAGGCCCCTAGTTTAAACGTGGCTTAAGAGGTCGACTCTTCGCAAAAACTTTATATGTTTAAAATTTGTAATGCAGGCATGTTATTTGTTTGTCAGTAAATGTTCTCCGGATTGAAAGTTGTTTTTATTGAGCTTTCGACGCGGTACTTCGAATCTTCTTCATTATCTTCTTCATGCAATATCTAAATTATTTATATGTTTCTAGCTTTATATATTTAAGTTTCGTGTTGTTCTTTAAGACTCTGTATACGTTGAGAGTGATTGGTTGTTTCAACATTATTGACATTCCTACAGTACCTGCAACTTAAACGTAAGGCCTCTATCAATAATCACGTTAATATAACTACGTTAATGTATAACATGTCATCACGTAATGTAATCACGTATATAACACTTCGAAACTATAGTCAGAAGCTCTAAACGTATACAAAATCTTAAAGAACAGCGCGAAACCTAAATATATAAATGCTAAATTTAGATAGACATGTAAATATAGAAGAAGACAATAAAAACAATTTTCAATCTGGAGAACATTTATTGGCAAACAAATTCGTTTATTTTACTTAATCTTAATATGCTTTGCATGCATATACATGTATATATATACCCTCTAATACGGTTTATGAGAGTCGATTTGCCACTACCACTCTTTCCGACAACACCGACATTTATTTTAACTTCTTTCCACTCATCAAGTTTTTTAATTAACCGCTGTGCAGATTCGATCCCGTCATCTTGGAAAGGGTCTGCGGTCTTGATGTTATTGTTTAGGAAAAATTCACGCCATACATCTAAATAAGAGCAAAAAACCCAAATAGAAATCTAACAGAAATTCTCATTATTGCCCGGTTCACATTTGACTGAGGCGTGTCTGCGTTTGTTCATATCTGTTCTTGAAAAATATTCGGTTCGTCTAGCTGCTACCGTCAAAAGGTCGGCGAATCATCGTCGTCGTATGTGATCCAGTTCTCAAGGTAAAGAACAAGGCTATTATTATAAACCTACCCATTCCATGGACAGGCAACACCTCTAAAGCCGCTATTAATCGAAAGAAATCCCAGTTGTGTGGTTCATAGTTACTGATAAGAAATATATTTTCGGGAGATGACAATTTCATCTCTTTAGATATATAATCCCGGATTTCCTTCAAGAATTTTTCATTATCGAACTGCTTTTTATTTTTCTCCAACACATAATCGCTATCGATTTTGGTGCGAATAATTAAGAATGACTTTTTGGCCGACTTGACTTTCTTTATCATTTCCGCATCAAGATTTGTAATTCTGAGTGAAGTAAAAATAAGAAATCTATCAAATTTTTCAAGATTGAATTTCGTCCAATACAGTTCAAGCTGGGAATAGTTTGTTGTTCCATAACCAGGCAAATCGTGGTAGCTCACTCGAGGATTAATTGAGTCGATGTAGTCATGTGGTTCTTCCTCTATTTCGACAATATTGACAGGGCTTGCTCCTTTATCTTCTTTGTCGATTCTACAAAGTAATTTAAATACAGTATATTCATGACAAGAGGCAACAAGCCGAATACTTCTAAATTTCTATATTTTGATAGAAAGAGCAAAAAATTCTTAATTCTTACTTTAACCAACTATATAGATTAGTTAAAGTAAAGTGGTAATATAATATATAACTTTCATTTACTTTAAAATAAATTGGCATGCATCTCATCTTATACAAATCGTTTCTTATTTTCCATGTCTTTGCGAGTGTACCCCTAGATATTGTTCATAGAATATTTAGATTTGGAGTCAATATAGCCACCGTTCAGATTGTAGATATCGAGGTAGGGTTTTTTGGACCAGGAACTTGGTCCCCACACGCGGCTAATCTTGTTGTTGTTGTTGTTGTTGTTAGAGGGTGACGCTCTTTAAAAAAGCCTAAGGCTCTGTCAATTCACATCAGATCGCAATAAAACTTCGCACAACTATTCTTAGCGATATTCCCCATCGATTGACGGAGTTATAATTTTGATTTTTTGATTTTAAAGAAATTTAGAAGCAACTCAAAATTGTAGCGTAGTAATGCGTATAGATTATATTCAATATTAGTATGCATAACTGAAGCAAGTTCGAATGGCTAAGGTTCCGTCATTTCGCACCAGATCGTGATAAAACTTCACACAACTATCTTAAAGCAGAGGCGTACGAGGCGGGGGGCTGGGGGGGCGGAAGCCCCCCCAATTTAGTCAGAAATATTAATTAGTCGGGCAATTTGTATTTACGAGTCGGGCAATTTATACTTAAGTGAATTTGGTCTACATAAAAATTTTTACGAATCCTCCAATATGGTAGAATATGGTAGAATATATATGCTTGCAGCTTGCGTAAACCCGAATTAAAGGAAACGAAAATAATTGAAATAAACATGGTTTTCCGTTTGTGCCACTGGCTACCCTATGTGCCACAACTGATTGGCGCGGCAAAACTTACCATGTAGTTACGAAACACTTCTATTGTTTTGTAAGTTTGTAACTTTTATAGCAACTGTACATGATTTAATCCGAGATTTAATCGAAGTTAGGGGGAGGAAATCATGTCGTTTATGCACTAGATAGACCTCAGAATCCTGACTTTATTCTGCAAAATCTCACGCGGAAAATGCAGGAAATCACATTTGCGGGTCGTTAATTTTCAAAAATTTTCGGGGGAGCATGCCCCCGGACCCCCTAGTATGCCACACGCTTTCGGCTTTCGCATCTCAGCTCTCCAAAACATTGACTCTGGTTACGCCGCTGCCTAAACTCGGCAGAACGATTTCCCTTTCCGATTACGCGCTTCGCTATGAGTGGAAATCAACTTATCAAATTGTCTAAATAATGTGAAGGCTGTTAAAGTTTCGTCATAGTACCCAAGCAGGAAATATGGTATTTCAGCGTTTGTACGTTCCAAAATACCGAGGGAGCAGACCGCTGGACCATCCTTGTTTTTCTTGGTCTTCGGCGCTCGTCGGGCAGAATATCCCCCGCCCCCCCAAAATTTCTAGGCCCGTACGCCTATGTCTTAAAGGTTATTCTCTATCGACTTACGGAGTTAAATTGTTTGTGCTTGTATTCTGCAGAAGATTTGCAAGCCATGTCAGATTGTGACGGGAGGCAAATTTTAATATTATTAATATTCATATCCTATGAGTTCAAGCCAGAAGGTCGTGTATTTTCGTTGTTTTGTACACAATATATATTCATGACTATAGGACCATTGCGTTAAATGCGTTTCTCTCTAGGGCATTTCTTATTTTTTATTTATTTGTTTAGGGTTTGCCCAGCATACATATACATATAAAACGACTATAATGACAGTGGCACGGTGCACGCAACGCTAGCTTCTCGCCAGCTACAGCGGCATAGATTAGGACATAGATGTGCAACTCGGCATATTTTAAATGTCTTTGTATTGAAAGCAGGTGAAAATTGTAGAAAAGCGATAATTTTAACACAACCGCAAGATTGCCTAGGTTCATAGATATTTGAAATTTCATCCTGGAGAGAAAGATTGAATCTATACTTCACCAGTTCCTGCTCCAATAGTACGATCGTACATGTTGTACAAGAGATGGATGGGCGGCTTCTATAGCACAAATTATATGTGTCATAATGTAATATACTCAAATCATGTGTTCACTTATTTCAGTAAAAAGCAGTTACACTTCTGAAGTGTATCACAGACAATTTTCTCTCAGCCTTTTTGTGGATGGCATAACGTAGATGACCGACATAAGCCGCATGATTGCGGCGACATTGGACTCATGCAGCTCTGCTGGATACCTTTGGTGTAAATATCTAAGCGGAACTCGCATCCTCAAATTGCGTTTCGCTTTCTCGCTCAGGGATAAACCATTTGCTGTTTCATCTAAAGGTTTCCAATCGTCATAATGCATTCAATTGAAACTCTAGCAGTATAAAAGCAGAAAAGTAGCAGCTAAATTGTTTAAGATTAAATTATATATTCATTGCGCATCAATGTATTTTGTATTTTGTTTAGTATCGGCCTACACGTCACTTGTTGATGTTAAAGTATTGTGCCTTTTAATATACATAATAACATCAGATGAATTTCTAATCGCAATAATATTGGCTTTCCATGTTGCATACATTGACCGTTTTAGATAAGAGCGGAATAAAACGCTTCAGACTCCGGATATTTTGTTGCACTAGAACTTAATACTTTTGTTATTTATACATGTCGCATGATTAATTTCGATATCTCACTGCATAGTTCGTCGATTTATCACAACATACAACCGTAAACTAGTTATATAGGTATCACATGCTGGAGAAACTATACTTTATTCTCCTGATATCATAATTCTTTGCAAAAGACTACTTCGAATCCGGCGGTAGTCTGTTTTACACTGAAAGTTCCGCTGATAATGTTGAATGCTGCCATAGCGCTGGCTTTCTGCAAGAGAGAAAGTAAATTGTTTACCCTCTTACGGCGTTGACGAAGGCAGACTTCCCGGAACCACTTGATCCGACTAAAACGAACTGAACATCAACCATTTTTCCTGATATATTGCCCGAACAAAACTAGTTTCGTTTTATTAAAAGTCGTGTTTCATCAAAGCATTACAGCTATAATTGTAGCTTAATTGAAATAATATTTTCAATTCTTATGTTAATAAGTTCCGAGAATAAGATCGACTCGTCATGGTAATTGTCATAGCATGGGATCTACTCCATCTTGTGGTGTAACAAAGTTTATTTTATTTACTTTATGACATAGCATGGGCCTTATTTTCCTCTTTTATCTCCCACTTGTATCCTTGCACCCACTCCTAATATATAATACTCTCAAAGAACAGAATTATCTCACAACTCACGGTATGTATAACCACCCTGCGTGTATTTTTGCGCAGCGTGAGAATTTTTATTATTATTTTCATGTTTTCTAGCTGTTAATTTGTATTTTTTCTTGCCTTCTACTAAGAGACTATACATATTCCAGACAAATCACACAAGAGCAATGACAAACATGTTTTGCTAAAAGGCATTTCGTTGCAAATACATGAATGTCTACTTATTCTACCTGTATTGTTACTTATATTCTCTACAACAGCACCACACCAAGTACCCTGATACACTATTTCTATAGTTCAGAAACTTTTATCTACTTTTAGGCAAGTGTTGATTATTTAAAGAGTAGGCAAATAGAGCTATCAGGGAAAGATTACGCCCATGCAGAAACTTGCTCAGGTAAAATTGAGTGCTAGCAACACACTACCTACCCACCAACCTAGGTGTACGGGCACTACTTCGTATCGCCAGAATTTTGGAATTATTATACTGATGTGCCCGAATTTCAACTTTTACCACGTTCGTGACAGTAAACTTCATTTTATTTTGTTTAACGACGATTACCAGAAAGAATGTAGTGACCTTTGGCAAGAAAACTGATTCCGTGGCAAAGAGCCAGATGTGCTTTCAGGAAATTGTAACAAAAGTGACTAAATAGAATATACATATGTGTTATGAATTACAAAATTTTGTTTCAGAAATTCTGTTTAGGTAACTCTAATTTCAGTTTTTCCGAATTTTCCCCTGAACGTTGCTCGAATTTATAGACTCTTGGCCTGTCCGGCCTGTCCCTTACCCTATGCATCAACTACCTACACAAAAGTCTTCCAGTCTTCGTCTGGGTGCGCACAAGTGCTAAAAGTGGGTACACTAGCTTCAAATATTTATCTATCTAATACTATGTGATGATTACACACATCAAATTGTATGCACATCTTTGTCATGATTACAGACTATATTACAGGGCCGGTTGATATATATCAATGAACTATAGTTGATGTTAAGGTTCATTAATCCTCATCGCGAGTTGGAATAACTATAAAATTGATACCAAAATGATGGGTACAATTCATCTACAATACTAGCGTTCGAATTTCATAACCTTATCCGTTCTTACAATACTACGCAGGTTCAATGTGAGCATGCACGAAAGACTATTTCTTTAGTTATCATCTAGTTTCTTATGCAAATATAATTATGAGTAAGTTATCTTTGGTGATCGGATTCACTGTCCCTTAGCTTTCATCCTTGCTTCTTCTAAGATTTTCTGCCCCACCTCACTCATTTCGTTCAAGATACAATGGAGTGTGCCCTCCACGAATCCATACGTGTCTTTATTTTTCACTTCACCTAATAATTTTTCATCGCCAGAACTTTTTTCTGTAGGTTCGCTTTCAGAAGCGCTTTCATTTAACGCTTCTAGCCAGGATTTCATATCTGTGCCAGGTTCGAAGTAGAATTTTCTGACATCATTTTGGAGTTCGGGCGACATTCCTTCAAAAATTTTAAGGAAATTTTTGGGCTCTTTCTCAGGTCTTTCTTCGGGATCCTTTTCGGAATCATTCTTAGGATTCTCTTCAGGAAATCCAAGTTGAGATCGGTAGAACTTTACTTTTTTGGCAATGAGAATAAAATCATGTTTACGGGAATACTCCGTTGTGGTGAATACTTTTACAATAGATGATTGAAGTAATGCAACCGCCCTTACTCGACCTGAAAAACAAAAATAATATAATTTATACTTGATAATTAGGACTAGGGCAATTACCATCGGATTTTTCGCGTTTTTCAGGCTCCTGATGTAGGTAGTATTAATTTTGCAGAAAGATGACGAGTTATAAAGTGATGTTATAAGGTTTTGTTATAGATTTAGAGAATTTTACGACACGAAATGCATTCAGTATGATGTTGTAAGTTAAAATATTGTTGGATTAAGAAGCGAAGGGGTGGGGGGGGGGTTGGTTGCAGTCACGTTTCTTAACCACTGAACGTTATGAAATATTTTATAGACTGGCTTTTTCAGTCACTGAACGAAGCGCGCACCTTCTACGAAGACACCAGATTTTTAATATGCGTAAAATGACTCCTCTTGTAGAACAAAAATTACAAGTGTGCATGCCTGTAGAAAAAAGAAATATATGCAGATACGCACCCTTAAGTGTTTCGACTTTTCGCTTTAGAATTTTCTCAGAAAACACAACCGTGGAGAGCAGGAAGCTCGTCCGCACACTTGCGGGTAGTCGATCATTGATTGCATTTACTAGGCGGGGAAATTCCCATTTGTATGGATGGTGATTACTTATTACAAAGATATCGTCGTAATCAAGTGGCGCGTTTGCTAATTTTAAATTTTCATAACAGTTGTATTTAATCTTTTTCCGTGTCTTCAACTCGTCCCATTTCTCTTTATATTTTTTCTTCTCGTTTTCACAGTCCAGGTCATACTTCGTGCGGACGAAGAAAAAAGGCTTGTTTTTTGAGACAAGTTCACTTGCTAAAGCTCCAGAGTCGTTAGAAAATCGTTCAGAAGTCATAATGATGAATGCGTCATACTTTTTAATATCAACTTTTTCGCAGAAGGCGTTGACATCAGAATAGACTTCTCCACCAATGCCTGGAAAATCCCGAAGCGTGATGTTCGGATTTCTCGGATTGGAATAACGAGTTTTTGATTTTGTTGTGTCAACAGTTCCCGTTTCTGCTGCTAACGGGTCGTCTTCATTCGTGATTCTGTTGAAAAGAGAAATAATTGATTTTACCACCTTCCCCCATATTTAGTTGCTTCTTATAATTCATAAAATACACTCTATAAAACGAACGAAATTGCTCAGACCATTGGCCATTATTGGCCAATTCATTACAAAATTTGCTCATTTAACACCGCGGATTATCTTTGGGGTACTATCATCTCTATATAAAGTCAATTTGCGTTCTTTATTAAAATTGGAACTCTTATTAAGATATATGAATAGAAAATAGTTATAATTCACTGTAGACTTAGTTTACCCTCTAATGGCGTTTATGAAACTCGATTTGCCGCAACCATTTTTTCCGACAACAGCCAGGGATATTTGACGGTCTTTCCACTTGTCGAGTTCTTTAACCAATTTGTTCGCAGCCTGGATCCCATTAATGTGAAAAATGCCTCTACCTTTGGCAATTTCTTTTCCAAAAATGTGATTCCATGTTGCTATAATTAAAAAAAAGAACTATAAACATATTTTTACTGCGTTCACTAAATTTTAAATCTACGTAGACCATGATGCATATAATTATATATGTATACACGCATTCAACATTAAACACTCACAAGTTACTTCTTCGAATCGGTTTAAAACTATGGAATTTATTTTATCTTCCTTCGAATATTTTTGTCTAGGGACAAAATTAAAACAATAAAATTTAATGTTGGTGCAGTCATAAAAGTTTTTCAGGCTATAAATATAAAACGTCTATGCGATGCCAGAAAAAAAACGGCTAAAAGTGTCTAGACAGATAAATACTGAAAAATAGCAAAGATCAAATATATTAAAATAGTCTAAATAAATCAATATATTTAAGAATTGATAACGTTTCTAATATATGGTCAGTATACTTCGTGCACCTCCCGTGTGAGAACGTCTCTTAATAATTATATATAGCTACTATCGGCAACATTCCCGACACTATTTCGATTTTGTTGTTTTATCCAAATTATATAAAAATTTTGATTTTGTACTCTATGTCCATCTTGACAAAAACTTACCCGTTTCAGGAACAGAGGGCAAGTTATTCATAGCATGCGTTAACTCTCTGAAATCCCACTTGCTTGTATCATAGTTACTGATAAGAAATATGACCTTCTCTGTAGAAGACGATTGCAAGTTCGTTTGCTTGTGTACATAAGCCTTGATTTTCTCCAAGGTCTCTTCTGTCTCTTTTTCCCTGAACTCGAATTTATCTATTTCCAAGTTGAATTCGACATCAATTTTTGTTCGGATTATCAAGAATGACTTTTTGGCACTTTTTACTCTATTTATTAATTCTAGGTCAAGTTTTGTAACTCTGAAAGAAATAAAAATCAGAAAACTATCAAATTTTGACAATCCATGCTTCTTCCAATACATGTCAAGAGTGGGATAGCTTGGTGTGCCATATCCAGGTGGATCCCAATAATAGATTACTGGATTTTTTGGGTCAATGTATTCTTTCGGTGTCCTCGATTTCTCAACTATATCGACTGGTGCCGCATGTTCGTGTTCATCATCGACTCTACGAAAGAGATCATTCCATTTAATTTACCTTGAATCAACTGCAGCGATAGCGCTTTGGTAAAATAATTATATCTTGTAAACGGGTAAAATTATCACAAGCGACGATGGGGATGGACATCTCTTTTTTATCACATGATTTCCAGCAAATCACAATTTGCCCAAAAAATTCTCATCGATGGAGAAAAAAGTGATCAAAAATAATTTATTTTTATGTTTATAATGAGCTGTTTCACTTCTTTTTAAAGGGATGGCTAGACTTAGTAAAATTGCCTAAATTTGCTGCGTAGTACCGAAGATATAGCCAAGCGAAGTTGGAAAATTTTGTATACTTTTGTATTATGGCTGGAAGAGTGCAATTAAATTCATAACAACTTGGCATTATGTATGACATGAGTATGAAATATATACTACACGCTAATTTTATACTGGATTTGTTAATTTTATAAAAAAGTATTTTAAAGTTAAACAGATTTAAATATAGCTATGATATATGACACGCCTACAATATCTGAACTGAAATATTGAATTTGCAATATTGAACACGCTTACGTATTGTTATACCTTGAGAAATTTTGATCGCATTGATATTTAATATTGTAATAGTAAAATTTTTGCTTCTATTATCGAATAAGGTGGTGTAAAACTTTGGCGTTATAGCTACATATAGTTTTCACACATTTATTAGTGATATCAATTGATATATAAACCCGTTTGTTACTCATCTCGCATTAAAAATCTTGAATGGTCAAAAATATAGTATCCTACAATGTCATAGCAAGTTTAAAACGATATTTTTCGCCTTATTTGCAAACAGAGTTTGTTTGCAAGATAAATCCAGCGACGCTCAATGAATCTATTACACAAATATTGTGCTTTAGGATATTAATTTTTATTCCCGCATAACGTTTCCTGTACTCAAAGAGAAAGTAAGTTTACCCTCTTATTGCGTTGACAAATGCAGATTTTCCACAACCACTTGTTCCAACTAAAGCAAACTTGACACAGGGCTCTGATGCCTTAGACTGTGATTTACCCATTTGAGTTGAATTTGTGTTTGTATACAAATCTGGTTTCGCTTTACTGGTAGTCGCAACAGCATCTGTATTGGCACTATTGCTATATGCAATACCGTAACGTTTCATAATCATTATATGGTAATGAGTTCTGAGAACAACGCTTTCGTTTTCTCCCCATAACGTATTGTGCATGAAATGCATTAAGTTTCATTTGCGCATACAAAATTGCGAATTCTAATAAAAGTTTTACCTGATGGGATGATCTGGATCGTATGATCCTATATAGAAGTTTTGCTGTGTTTTGGTCCTTTTCAAGCTTGGTTCGTGGTTATTTTAAGAAATTCTGGAGCACCCGTTTCCATTTTAACAAGGACTTTGTTCATTAAACATGACAGGAATGTGAAGTTTGCTATTGTCCGAATTTGCTATGGGCTCCTTGATGCTTCTGCTAAATCGAACAAACAACTGGGTCCACCGGTCCATCGTTCGTTGTAAATAATGTTATGAGAATTTGAAATTTAATCGAATAAAAAATTGGAATAAACTCTTCTCTTAAGTTATATTATATTTCTTAAATATAACTGTAAATATCTGAATGTTTTGTATTTATTTATACGCTACTTCCCTATGTTATGTAAGTATTTGTTAGCAAGAAGTTATAAGGATTTGTTTATTGAGAGGAAGCTTATTATAATGAAGGTTTTCATGCAATATCATTTGCATTGGATTTGCCGTGAATCTGTGTTTGTTTAAATTCGCCTACGTATTGTTACCTTCAGAAATTATGATCGTATCGATCTTTAAGATTGGAATAGTAAAATTAATATTATTGCTTCTATTATGGAACTTAGGTGGTGTAAAACTTCGAGGTTAGGTATAATTGATATAATTGATATCTCGCATTAAAAATCTCGAATGGTCAATAATATAGCATCCTACAATTTCATAGCAAGTTTAAAACGATATTCTTCACCTTATTTGCCTAACACAATTTGTTTGCAAGATAAATCCAGCGACGCTCAACGAATCTATTACACAAATATTGTGCTATAGGATATTAATTTTTATTCCCGCATAACGTTTCCTGTATACTCAAAGAGAAAGTAAATTGTTTACCCTCTTATTGCGTTGACAAATGCAGATTTTCCGCAACCACTTGTTCCAACTAAAGCAAACTTGACACAAGGCTCTGATGCCTTAGACTGTGATTTACCCATTTGAGTTAAATTTGTGTTTGTATACAAATCTAGTTTCGCTTCACTGGTAGCCGCAACAGCATCTGTATTGGCACTATGCAATACCGTAACGTTTCATAATTATTATATGGTAATGAGTTCTGAGAACAACTCTTTCGTTTTCTCCCCACAACGCATTGTGCATGAAATGCATTAAGTTTCATTTGTGCATACAAGATTGCGAATTCTAATAAAAGTTTTACCTGACAGGATGATCTGGATCGTATGATCCTATATAGAAGTTTGTGTTTTGGTCCTTTTCAAGCTTGGTTCGTGGCCTTTTCAACCGGTTATTTTAAGAAATTCTAGAGCACTCGTTTCCATTTTAACATGGACTTTGTTTATTAAACATGACAGGAATGTGAAGTTTGCTATTGTCCGAATTTGCTATGGGCTCCTTGATGCTTCTGCTAAATCGAACAAACAACTGGGTCCACCGGTCCATCGTTCGTTGTAAATAATGTTATGAGAATTTGAAATTTAATCGAATAAAAAATTGGAATAAACTCTTCTCTTAAGTTATATTATATTTCTTAAATATAACTGTAAATATCTGTATGTTTTGTATTTATTTATACGCTACTTCCCTATGTTATGTAAGTATTTGTTAGCAAGAAGTTATAAGGATTTGTTTACTGAGAGGAAGCTTATTATAATGAAGGTTTTCATGCAATATCATTTGCATTGGATTTGCCGTGAATCTGTGTTTGTTTAAATTCGCCTACGTATTGTTACCTTCAGAAATTATGATCGTATTGATCTTTAAGATTGGAATAGTAAAATTAATATTATTGCTTCTATTATGGAACTTAGGTGGTGTAAAACTTCGAGGTTAAGTATAATTGATATAATTGATATCTCGCATTAAAAATCTCGAATGGTCAATAATATAGGATCCTACAATTTCATAGCAAGTTTAAAACGATATTCTTCACCTTATTTGCCTAACACAATTTGTTTGCAAGATAAATCCAGCGACGCTCAACGAATCTATTACACAAATATTGTGCTATAGGATATTAATTTTTATTCCCGCATAACGTTTCCTGTATACTCAAAGAGAAAGTAAATTGTTTACCCTCTTATTGCGTTGACAAATGCAGATTTTCCGCAACCACTTGTTCCAACTAAAGCAAACTTGACACAAGGCTCTGATGCCTTAGACTGTGATTTACCCATTTGAGTTAAATTTGTGTTTGTATACAAATCTAATTTCGCTTCACTGGTAGTCGCAACAGCATCTGTATATTGGCACTATGCAATACCGTAACGTTTCATAATTATTATATGGTAATGAGTTCTGAGAACAACTCTTTCGTTTTCTCCCCACAACGCATTGTGCATGAAATGCATTGAGTTTCATTTGTGCATACAAGATTGCGAATTCTAATAAAAGCTTTACCTGACAGGAGAGTTAGCTCGGGCGAAATCTTCCTTCCCAAAAACCTAACATCGTTCTCTACAAATGAATAAGCGCTATAGCAACGTGAATAAAACGAACTGGGTCGTTTTACTGCAATCTTTGCGAATAGAGAATAAAATTTATCAATTTATGTATCGTGGCGCACAAAATTCTTAGGATTCAGCCTTGTTTTTAAAATTATTTCAATTTATTTTACATTCCTACAAGATACTTAGAGTTATACCGCAGATTTAAAACACTTCGTTTCTAAAACTATTTCAAACATTGTGAACATATATTGTTGTGAGGAAACAATGTTTAACTATTCATTATAGACACAGAAACGAGAAATATTATGCATTTAAATTATGTCCGTTTATAGTTCTTATTGTCCTAAACTGCTAAATCTGTATTCATGAATGACATACATATCAGGTTTCGTGATTTAAAACAATACCTGAAAGGCAAAAATAGTTAAAAGATTATACAGACCCACTAAGTTTTACTATGCATGTAACATTGATATATTTGCAGTATAAATACCTATCAATGCAAAGTTATTTTGCAAAGTTATTTTAAATTTAAATGCGCATGATCTTACATAGAAGTTTTGCTGTTTTTTGTTCATTTTCAAGCTTGGTTTGTGGCCTCTTCAACGGTTTTGTTAAGAAGTTTTAGAGCACCCGTTTCCATTTCGACCAGGACATTCTTCATTGAACGAGACAGGAATGTGAAGTTTGTTTCACCTAAATTAACACCACAATGTGCGTCGAAACCTTCTAACCAGCGTTTCACGTCAGTATTAGGCTGCAAGTAAAATTTTTTGATCGCTTCCTGGCCTTCGGGACTCTCGGGTAATCCAAGTTCAGATCTGTAGAATTTCACCTCCTCAATGATGATACTGTACTCGTCTTCAGACAATAGTATTTTCGGAACCAATGATCTTAATGCTTGTGTTGCTGCAACCTTCCATATTCGATCTAAAAAAGGTCAGAATAATGGAAGAACATGTGAGCATACGTGAACTATAACAACATAATTCTCATATATTCTTTCTTCGTTTTTCCGTTTAGATCCAGCTATAGCTGGATTTATGAGGAAAAAAGTCAAATACGTCTGCGAAAATATACATGAAGCAGAGACCGTTCATTTTTTAATGCGTTTCTTATACAAAAGTAAAACTTAGCGCGCGTAAGTTTATACCGAATCATTAGATGTGTCAATAATCCTTAAGATCGACATACCGTTTTGTTATTATTAATTTGATCATAGAATGTTTTAAAGGAATAGCAGATTTTTGAGGGTATTCCTGGGAAAACTATTATATATATACTTGGGAACACGCACCTTTAAGTTTTTCAACTTTTCGTCTTAAAATACCTTCAGAAAACACAGCCACGGTGAAAAGAAAGCTCTCTCGCACACGAGAGGGAAGTTGATCGTTGATTGCTGTTGTGAGTCGGGCGAAATCCCATTTATCTGGGTTGTGATTACTGATGAGAAAAATGTCGTTGTCATTAAGTGGCGCATTCGCCAGTTTTAAGCTTTTAGAACAGTCTGTTTTAATAGTTTGCAGTGTTATTGTTTCTGCAATGTTTCTTCTTTCTGCGTTATCCTTGACGTCGTTGTCAATTTTTGTGCGGGTAAAAAAGAAAGGCTTGTTAATTGATTTAAGTTTTTCTGCTAAAGCCTTAGTAATCTTTCCAAACCGTTCAGAGGTCATAATGATGAACGCGTCATACTCCATAATTTTGATACTTTCGCTGTAGTCGTCAAGTTTGGAAAGTGCAATCGAACCGATACCTGGACAATCCCATAGTGTTATATTGGGATTATTTGGATAGAAATACTTCATCGGAATCGTTGTTGTTTCGACTATTCCCGTTTTTGCTGCATGAGTCTTGTCGGTATCGTCGACTCTGTGAAAGAAAGAATAATTAAAATTCATCACATGACGTTACCGCTGCAAAATTTAAATTGCTACATTATATTATATAGCCATTACTGGAGGGAATTTTGGAAACCAAAAGCAAATTAAAGTAAAAGCTTTCATTATAATAATTCTGCATGTCTGTAGAGAAATCCGTATATTCCCTTCTTATTCCAATTTAAATGTACAGTTGAATATACTATGGATTACAAAATTACTTTTAAGATCGGAGATCTCACAGACAATCTTCATTCTATAACATGCTCTCTTTAATTAAAGTGGATATACGTAGAAAAAAAACAGTGTCAAGCCATAAAAAAATAATTACTTTCTAATTGCGTTTATGAAACTTGATTTGCCGCAACCATTTTTTCCGATAACTGCGACGGATATTTTGACATCCTTCCACTCATCAAGGTCTTTAATCAGTTTCTCTGCAGCCTCAATCGCGTTGCCCTGGAAAGCATCGGAAAATTTCGCCATAGTCTTAACAAAGAAATGTGACCATATCCCTGAAATAAAAAATTAAATTCATTTACATGGGTGGCGTTTTAATTCAATTGAATTTATCTAATTAGAAACCTTTTCAAGGAACGGACTTAAAATTTTCGTTTAGTTTTTACAGAGTTTCAGGTTAGTTTGAATTATTTATTTAATTTTCTGATCATGTGTCTCAACAGTCAGGTGCAAGATATAAACATCTCTTCAACAAATTACGCTTGAAAAATAGCAGCCCATGAATGTACTGCTACTGCGTTCAAGCGTTGAGTGCGAGAATTTTTTCACGATGTTTCCGTTCTAAAACGTTACGTTTCCTTGTTGTTTACTTCACGTTTTTAGCGTGAAATGTACAACTTTGCAGGAAATAATTTATGTCAACGTTTGACACGTCATTTCGACAAGCCTTCGTTGCTTGCAGTGCATGTATGTGCCTGCGGGAACGAATTCTATCTGCACCGACAGCACTGTGAACTCGTGAACTCACATGTGGGATGCCTGTTGCCGTGCGCATACCCGAATGTACATACGCGATCCTATTGGTCATAACGAAAACGATGTATGTTCAAAATATAATTTTGTTGCCTTACAGCACCTAACTGTTTGGAAATTTATGATTCCCGAATTGAAAGATTCCCGTTACTTTCTAGTCAAGAAGGAACTATTGCTTAGTTTAGCGAGCAAGGCTATCTCGAGGGAACTAACCTCTCTCAGGCCTGGGTAACACGCCTTCCATTGCCTGTATTAATTTAAGGAAGTCCCAATTGCTTGGACGATAGTTACTGATAAGAAATATCTCTTTACGTGTGAGATTGGTTTCATTAAGTATGTACTTCCGGATTTTTTCGATGAGAGCATTCTCATTAAATTGGCTTTTATCTTTTTCCACCATGTATTCAATATCAATTTTTGTACGAATAATAAACAATGACTTTTTGGCAGATTTGACTTTCTGAATCATATGGAGATCAAGGTTTGTGACTCTGAGTGAGATGAAAATCAGAAATTTGTCAAATTGTTCCAAATTGAAATTATTCCAATACATTTCAACTGTGGGATAGTGTTGTGTGCCATAACCCGGCAAATCGCAGAAGCTGATTAGAGGATTATTTGGATGAATGTATTCCTTTAGCTCTCTTTTCTCCTCCACAATATCGACCCCTGCCGCTTGCCAGTCTTCATTGTCGATGCTATACAAAAAAGAGATAAGATATAACGACTGTAAAATTAATGACGATGTGTTATTTTATAATAGAAACCTGAAACAGTTCAATTATCTGTCGTTCTTTGCTGAAATACATAACTGTTTGGTTCACATGATTCCAGCAAGCAAATAAGATATGCTGGACCCCAACCGTACATAAGCAAATAAAATACTTTTCGCCTTACTCGCCTTGCATCAGCTACCATGAATAATAATCACACAGGTTCTTGTTTATGTTTGTACTCCTCCTTTTATATTACAATATATGATCAATGACGCATTTTGTATTGAAATAATCAAAGTTTCGCTTTTTGTTTCAGAATAAACTTATATATGGATAAAGCCCTGGACTAAGAATAAAAACAATTATAAATTTTTGTAGTTTTCGGAAGTTTATTTCAGCTAATTTTGGTTTTCATGTATATGTCTCGCATGATTAGTTTTAAGGCTGCGCAATCAAAACGAAACGACAAGTTTTGAAAGCAGTATAATCCTGAACAAACTTTTTCACTTGCTTAAGATACTAAGATATCATAAACAGAAGGATAAAGCGGCGGATGTTTGACGTGCGTGCATCACATCAACTAATAATTTTCCATTCAGACATAACGCTTCCTTGAGGAAAAGAAGCAATCAAATATATTGGTTATATACCTTCTTACGGCGTTGACAAAGGCAGATTTCCCACAGCCACTTGATCCGACTAAGACAAATTTGTTGGTTTTTGATGTCTCCTCCTTGGACTCTGATCCACCCATTTAGCTAAAATTCGTGTTCGTAGGAAGCTTCTTTCGTTTTGTAAGAAATCGCAACAGTGTTGAATCAAATAATTGCAGAATCTGTAACCGTGACATTCATAATCATTATGCTAATGATTTCCTAGAAGCACACATTCGTTATTGTTTGGGGCACAAAACAATAATATAATATTATATAATATATATATATATATATATATATATATATATATATAAAACAAAATCACTATCGTTATCGAATGCAATATTTATCAATTATTATTATCAATTGTACAATTAATTCACTTCAGAGCTGTAATATTCAAATAATATTTAAATATCGACTCCCTTGGTGTTAACTTTTGCATGTCCCTGTGTTTAACCCTGTGCTGGCCTGCTAGGCCAACTCAAATTATTGCAATTATAGGCTAAGTTTCACACACATTTTTGTGTGCAAAAAGCGGATCTGATGGTGTGCTGACATATCATATAGTTTGTTGAAGACACCATAACACACCATAGTCATAGATGTTTTTAAGGCTTGTGTACAAGTCGCTTAAAGGCGTGTTTTAAAAAGGTGTGTTTCATTTCACAGATAAAGCTGTGCTGTAGGAGAAGTATACTTCAGGGACAGGGTGTGCTAAATTACATGACTTTCGAAACACGGCTTTTTGAGACTGCTGATCGACGACTAAGATCGACAACATCTAATTGTGATGCTTTTAGCTAAATTACATGGCATAGATGTACAGCCATTTTATCCTTTCTTATTCAATGCTAGCATATTTGTTTCAATTTTGTGTTTTTAATGTGCGCGCCAAGCAAATAGTTATCAATATAGATATAACTATTTGCTTGGCGCAACAATAGCGGACCAATGTTACCGGCAAGAATATATATGCGCAAGACATTGATTGTCAATTGATTTTACATGAACACGTACCCCAATAAAGTGTTAGTAAAGCTTGACTTTCCGCTTCCTACCTCTCCGACTAAACCTATTTCTATCAGTTCTCCCATCACTCAGTGCCTTTTTTAACTATATATCTGGGGAGGCAATTGCCCCCCCAGAGAATGCATTTGCCCCCCCAGTAACTACATTTCTGCCCACGTAGTGCGACACAGTATTGCTCATTATTGCTCTGAGAATTGCTGTTGATTTACTTTGATAAAGAGACCATGCCCTTCCATAGCCTTTTCCACAGCCACCTTGCATGTGATGCATAATGTTCTTTGACAAATATTTCACAGTAGCGATAAATTTCATAGAATCAATCGAATAAAATGCTAGCTTTCTAAACCTTGCCACTATTTCCTAGTATTTCCGCTCGGCAGTTTGTTGATAACGCTATTTTTTTCGCGACGGTTTTGTGGCAAATTCCGGCTTTTCGCCTTTTCGTAATTCGTACATTTGTTAAATGAATATTTCCCGCGAAATTTGGCCAGGCCTATGAAATATGAATATGGAAAGCAATATTAAACAGAAAAGAAAAAATGTTGTCGAAAGCAAAGAAAACACAAAGTGCCAAAAGTTGACAAATTATTTTTTCGTGGTTCCTAAATCTACGAATACCGAAGCAGTGACATCAGTTGATGCTGAAGCAAAAACGAAGGTGACAGATCAGGAAAATAAATCCCCTGCTGCGAGCAAAACTGTTCAAGTTGAACAAGTTGACCCTGGTACGGTTACAAATCCACCTATAAATAATGAACAAAAGAAAATACCTTGCTCTTTAAATTCATACAGAGGTTTTTTGTTGAATATCAACAAAATACAAAATAAGGTGGGAAAGGAAACAATATCGGTTTATAGCGAGAAAATTGGCTCCCGTAAACGACAGCTTGCTAAATGCAACATCTGTTCGCAATTTGAGGAACAAGCGAAAAGGAGATCAAGGCATGGTATTGTTTACATAGCACATGGAGTAAGATGTGATTCGGAAGAGAAACTCAAAAACATAATAGATCATTTGCATAGTGAAATACATCAGGCAGCTTTGGATGCAAAAAAGCACAAGGAACTATGGGACAATCAGGACCTAAATCATCCTCTGGTAAGAGTTTTTAAAAATCAGGAACAAAAAACAGTAGAAAACCTAATCAAACTTGCAATTGACGTTTACAATGACAGTAAACTGCTAACACCATCAGCATGGTCATGGCCTTCAAGAGCCCTTGCCACAGCACATGCTGACCAGCTTATTTCTTCTCTGAGTGAAAATGGATTATTGCAGAGTCCATTCATTCCATTTGAGCCAAGCTCAATAGATTTGCATTACAGAGATCCAAACATTTACAAAGAAATGCTTGACACTATCGCAGAGCTTGAGAAAGTGAAATTGAAAGATGAAGTGAACACAGCCATTAAATTCTCTACCCAAATTGATGGATCTGTAGACACCATGCAGCATGACAATAAGTTTCTATTTCTAAAATACAACTCTCCTGATGACCCATTAGATATTAAGACAAAATTTGTTGGTGTAACTGACTCAGACCTAAAAGGAGCTGCTGGCTTAGAAGATTGTGTTCTTACAGGCTTAAAAACAATTGGAGTAGACAAACTTGTAATGAAAAAAAAATTTGCTGGTGTTACTACAGATGGTGAATCTGCTAACACAGGATCTAAATCTGGCTTGTGGAAGAGGTTAGAAGATCATGTAGAGAGAAAACTGATGAACTTTTGGTGTGCTTGCCATCGTTCTGACCTTGCAATGGAAGATATGGAAGAAAGTGTTCCTGAGTTAAAAGTTTGGAAGTCAAATCTACTTTCCATCCCAGAATACTACCATAAGTCTGCTGTCAGGACAAAAGAACTGAAAAAAATTCTTCCTACCATGAAGGCTTTCCCTACTTACCACAATGTGCGGTTTTCCCAGCATTTAAACAATGTCTGTATTGTTGTCCTTCATAATCAAATTGGATGCCTACAGCACTGGGATAACATTTCAAAAAGTACTGATTTTGATACAAGGGAAAGAAAGCGTGCTGAGGGTTTCATTAAGCTGTGGAAAAAGAATGGAACACAGTCATACATTACTTCCATTGTGTCTGATGTATGCTCTGTGTTTCAGATCTTGCAGAAGCAATTCCAGAAAGTTTGCATTGTCCTTCCAGACATCATGAAGCACAGAGATATAGCACTCTTGAAGCTCAGGTCTATGTTAGGTACACCATATGCTGGTGGTTCTGAAGAAATGTGGATAAAAGAAAATGGTCCCTTACATGCTGATGGATCCAGACAATCTGCTGAGTCATCGACGCAGTCAAGGCAAGCAAAGAGAACGCATGCCTTAATTGATGGTTATCACCGGGGAAGATCATTTACTACCATACGAAATGAGATTATTAATGCAGCCATTAACTTCCTTGAGCAAAGGTTGGACAATGAGCAGGAAGGCATAATGAAAAACATTGTTGACATCTGTGGTGCAAAATCAATAAATGAGTTTGTTGCTGCTACAAGACCGCTACTCGAATGTGCAGGTATAGTTGGTGATGATGTGAAAGGATTCACTGACACTGTTTTTGAGACATTTGACGATCTGAAACCCAATTCACACATTTTGGAAAAAGATTACACAGTTAGGATACTACATATGCTAAGGTAAGCCAACAAGCTGTGTTGCTAAAAACCAAAAGTACCTTTTGAGAATTGAGATATATAGTATTTTTCTTGTTTTTCTTTGTATTTTCAGACATAGCACTGGCTTAGTAAGGGATCTGCTGTCTGCAATAGTGGTGATTTCACCTGATAGCATGACGGTTGAAAGAAGTGTTTCAACATATAATATTTTGTACTCGAAGCTGAGGACAGCAACAAATCAGAAAACTTTAAACGATAGATTGATGATAGCCTGGAACGGTGTCCCTACTGCTTCATATGACCCAAGGCCAGCCGTTGTATCCTTTTTCAACAAAAAAGACCGACGCAGTGCAAGGCCATGTTTTGAGACGTATAAAAAAAGAGATTTTGTGACCAAATTTTTTTCGTAATGCTGTACAACTGCTGTAAAAATTTTTTTCTAAATGCTGTATAAACAAAGAGTTAAAATTATTGTTTGCACTTAAACATAGGTTTCCTTCTGTCTCGCGCGTTCGCCAAACCTCGTCGGCTCATTTTTCGTTTCGCCTTTTTTCTGCTTTGCCCCCCCAGTGAAAATTCCTTAAAAAAGGCACTGCCATCACTGTACCGAAGTCCAATAGCTTTTTACACAGCAGCCGGGCTCTAATAACCCGCAACCGCCTGTGGCACGGATATCGAGCCCAGGCTCCTGTGTTCTTTTCTGATACTCAACAACACTTAAATACAGGGTGTCTCAAAAAGGGCAACAATTATTATTCCACAATTAATATCATTCTTAAAGTCCAGGTAATTTAAAATATGTTCTAATCGTACAGTTGAATTGACTCATGCACAAAAGCTAAACTGATAATGGTGCGGCTCACAACCGGACAACGTGTTTTAATAAACCGATTCAGCCTCATATGCAAAATACCTTTTCAATGTTTATTTATACTTTTTTGAGGTGCATTTTTGCCAGTGAATTTGCAATAATATTGTTGTCAGAACTCGTTACATTGTGCCTACATATGATATTGTGTTCCGACAAGAAATCACATCGATCAAAAGTACACAAAAACAATGAAATGGCAATTTGCATATGAGGATAAATTGGTCTATTGTACCGTATGAGCACGATAGTACACTCAGTATATCGAGTGTCTCATATTTACTCGAGCCAAAAGCTGGTTCAACGACTCTGCATTTTTTACACAAATATAAACCAAACTATTTATTATTTATAAAACACTAGTGATCAGTTGTTTTTTTATTTCTATTACGGGATATATGTTGCGAAGAGTTTCTTGGTAAGGTAGGATGCTTTTCTAAAGGTTCGTTTTCATCATTTCCTTCCTCTTCTGTAGAAAACGCATTCAAAAGTATCAAATCTTTCCCTATTGGATGAGCGGAACTATTCTGGTTTGTATTATTGAATATATTCTCTGGAGCATTCCCTACATATTTTGCAATTTTCGGCAACTTTGTTATTGCTGAGCCTTCTACAACTCTTTTTTTCTCAGACAAAGTATGTT